GGCTACAATAGAGTTGCCAGCCTCCAGGTGGGGGCTGGATTTCTCCCAGAATTATAACTGATCTGCACACTACAGAGAGGGGCCGGGAGTGGCTTAGTGGTTAAGACGCTGAACTGCAGACCGGAAGATTGGTAGTTTGGCAGTTTGAGACCCGAGTGCCGCATGACGGAGTGATCTCCTGTCTCTGGCCCCAGCTCCTGCCAACCTAGCAGTTTGAAAGCAAGAAATTGCAAGTAGATAAACAGGTACTGCTTTGGTGGGAAGGTAACAGCGTTCCGTGTGCCTTGGTGTTTAGTCATGCCGGCCACATGACCATGGAAAAAGTCTTCGGACAGCACTGGCTCTTCGGCTTTGAAACGGAGATGAGCACTGCCCCCTAGAGTCGGATTTGACTGGCTTTTGCAAATAAAATCTTTTACTTTCACTTCTCCAAGCCAGACTCTCTCGTGTGATTTATTCAGTGAGAAGCATACAGGACACATATTTGTGCAACACATTTCAACAACATGGATTATCATCTAACTCCCCTCACTGTAAAATCAATGCCCAGGCCAAATCGTTGGACCTAGAGACACCAAATTCAGGGAGAGTGCTCCTACCATGGTGTAGGTGCTCGCTAAGAAGGGATTTTTAGAAATTCGACCCCTAAGTGGGTCAAAAGGGGTAAAATGTGTTCACCCCCATTGATTCCTATGCAGCTGCCAGGCAGCTGCCTCCCTGCACCCCGCACTCTCTGACTGGTCAGCTGCAGAGCTCAGTGTTCTGACGTTAAAAAAAAAAACCAGTTACAGGGGACTGCAGAGAGCTAATGACAGTTGAGGAAATCAGGAGTGGCCAACAACCACCTGTGAGGTGAAGCAAAGCTGCTGGCCCAGCCTCTTTGATGGCTTCCAACACACTCCCCCCACCTCTTACACCTAACAGGTGGTTGTCTGTCAGGTGCAGCCCCACCTCCACAGTGGCTTCTAATACTGCTCCCCCTCTCCCTCCTACACTGGACAGGCAGCTGTCTGTCAGGTGCAACAGCGGTGGCAGGGTGCTTAAAGACAACAAGGAGCCCCCCCAGCACTAATGCCTTAGTGATCCTGCCAGCCAAGCCTCCACAGTGGCTTCTAATACTCCTCCCACCTCCCCCTCCTGCACTAGACAAGCAGCTGCCTGTCAGGTGTAGGAGAGGAGTTGGGATGCTGAGAGCCATCGGGGAGGTTTGCTCAGCAGGATTGCCTTAGCCCTGCTGCTGGCCCAGCCTCCCCGATGCTTTTAAACACAACTCCCCCCCCCAACACCAGACAGGCGGGTTTCTGTCAGGTGTAGGAGCAAGACCAGGGTACTTTAATCCATAAGGGATGCTGCCCCAGCAGGATCACCTTAGCGGTGCTGCTGGCCCAGCCTCACCAATGGCTTTAGCCACACTCCCACCCACTATGGAAATATACCTCAAATTTGTAGAAAAGTGGTTTCCTTTATAACCATAGAGTTTTCCCTTGGATGACCGTGGCCCTGCCCCCAGCGTGCCCGGCGTGGTCGCGTCACTTCTGGGTGACGCGCACGTTGGGGTGGAGTTCCCCCCAGGGCCTGATCCACCGGCGGCGGGGAACGGGCCTCTGGGGGGGGGGTTTCCCCTCCCCCTTGGGGGACTTGGCAAGCCTAGTGGCATATGCTAATAAGTTATGCTAATGAGCTCCTGCACCTCTTTTTCTACAAAATGACCCCTGGGGGTTGGCGCAGATGCGACTATAGCACAGGGCTTGGCTGTACACACAATGGATAGCCTCCAGCTACCACTCCAACCACTTCAAATAATCCATTGTGTATAGCTAAGCCCTACGCGAGGGGTGTCATTATAGGGTTGCCAGCCTCCAGGTGGGGCCTGGGGATCTCCCGCTCTTACAACCGATCTCCAGCTGACAGAGATCAGCTCCCCTGGAGAAAATGGCCGCTTCGGAGGCGGGACTCTATGGCCTTGGACCAGGCTGAGGCCACTCCCCTCTCCAAACCTTACCCTCTCCCGGATCCACCCCCAAAGTCTCCAAGTATTTTCCAACGCAGACCTGGCAACCCTGGGTGTCAAACCTGCGGTTCCGGCCCACTCAGGCCTTTAATGTGGCCCGGCTCTTCTTTCCCCCTCCCCTGCCTGACCTCACTTGAGCTGCATGGGAATATAAAGAGCCAAGGGCGGGGCTGCCTCTGAGAGCAGGAAGCAGAGGGCAGGGCTGCCAAACTTCCCAGCCAGGCTCCAAGCTTCTGTAGTCCTCGTCACAGGTAGGAGCTGCGGGGTATGTGCTTCTGTTATGAATCAATGCTCCCTCTAAGCTGTGGGGCCTTGTGAGCAAAAATTCTACTTTGTGAGCTACTGGTATTAAAGTTGTGAGCCAGCGATTTGGCTACTGCATAAATTAGTTGGCTCTGGAGCCCCTGAGCTAAGACAAAAATGGGTGAGCTGGAGGCTAAAAAACTGTGAGTTAGCTCACACGAACTCAGCTTAGAGGGAACACTGGCTGTGATCCGTGTGCTTCTTTTTTCTTTTAAAACTGGCTTTGCAAAACCCCCATAATCCCCCCACCTTTCCAGTTTTGGCAGGCACGTTTTGAGGGTGTGGGAGGGGAAGTCTGGGACCAGTCAGGCAATGTTCCCTCTAAGCTGTGGAGCCTTGTGAGCAAAAATTCTACTTTGTGAGCTACTGGTATTAAAGTTGTGAGCCAGCGATTTGGCTACTGCATGAACTAGTTTGCTCTGGAGCCGTCCTTCCTGAGCGAAGACAAAAATGTGTGAGCCGGAGGCTACAAATCTGTGAGCTAGCTCACACTAACTCAGCTTAGAGGGAACATGTCTGGACCAAGGACAAACAGTCTCCCGTTCTCAGGCGCTGAACTCACAGCCACCTGGGGCCTTGGGGTTCTCACTGGGTCCTGGTCCTTTGCTGAGGCTCTTTTTCACCTGGGTTCCTCTCAAGGATGCAGACAGACACTCAGCAGACACTCTGTAGTGTATCAGGCCCTGACAGGGCCGGACATGCCTGGACTTCAGTCCTAAAGACAATGGGCACATAGGATCCTAGCCAGGCCCAATGAAAGGGCTAGGTCCTGGCCAAGAGGCCAATAGGTCTCTTGGTTACTGTAAATAGCCAATTGGGAGTGGGGGTGTGTTTGGTGGTGGGTTTCTCAGAGGGAATATAAGCCGGCCTGCGAGCCGGGTAGTTGTCTTTGTCCTGAACTAAATAAAGGTATGCTTAGCTGAAATCACTCTCCGTCTGCATACTTTTCACACTCCCAGCGTGGTGGGTTAAAAAATACCTCTGCATTTATTTGAATCCTTCAAATAACTAAGAGTGTTTGCTCTGCAGAAACCACTCACGAATTACAGCAATGGCAAAAAAAAGACACTATACTTCCACTGGGCAGAGGCTGAGCCCAAAGCATTAACTCCTTGACCACCGAGAGCTGGAAGCGATATGGAAACCATTTTATATATGGACCCAAAGAAGAAACTAGAGAGACAGACTCTGAATGTATAAATTATTATGTTTATTAGAAAACATGTGTTAAACGAAGGAAAGATGTAAGGTCGCTTGTAGAACTTGATTTAAGTGGCTTGAATTGTTAGATGGTTCTCTGTGCTCTACTGTTTCATGGATGTCATAACCCATACCCTGTCCCATCCCTACCTTACCCTTTCTTATAGACTGCTGCATCAGTTAGTTTGCTTCTGGAGCCATCCTTCCTGAGGTAAGACAAAAATGTGTAAGCCGGAGGCTAAAAAATTGTGAGCTAGCTCACACTAACTCAGCTTAGAGGGAACATTGGTGTCAAGCATGCAGCCCCCGGGGGCCGGATCAGGCCCCCAGAGGACTTCTATCAGGCCTGCAGTGGAACTGGCCTTCTTCTGCTTCTCCTTCCAGTTCTGCTGCTGCTGCGTCATCGTAGGTTTGCAGCTTACAGATACACACCTGAACAGCATACTCAAGATTGCAACAGCACAGACATTTTGATGCAATAATTCAGAGCAAGAGGTGTCAGTTATCAGGCACTGTTAAATAAACAAAATATTGCAAGAGTGCTAATGTTTTAAGCATGTTTTTATTTTAAGTAAAAAATACATCTTTCTGTTTGTGTCCTTTATAAAATTTATATCTTTGCTACCTGGCATTACATTTAATGACACACATGGCCCGGCCCGACAAAGTCCAATTTATGTCAAATCTGGCCCTCGTAAGGAGTTCGACACACCTGCCCTACGCTGTAGTCGCGTAGGATCTACAGCAGGCATTTTTGCAAGTACAATATCCTACAACAGAGGTGCAGAAGAATAGGGTAGTAGAAATAAGAGTAGCGCACCATTTAAATTTCAGTAGCCCCTTTCCAATCCTGGCTAAACTCATTGTCAACCCAAAATGCACTACAACACCAGGTTCTAAGGCAGCAAAACCAAATCTATATATCATACAGACTTAGATGTTGATGAACCAAGCTACAAAAGATCCAGGGACGCCACGTTGCAGTACCATTTCCTTGCAATTTATTGTTCTGTGTAAAAACAGAGTAGGACACACACTTTCCCCCATGCTCTATGCCAGGGGTGGCCAAACTTGCTCAGTGTAAGAGCCACACAGAATAAACGTCAGATGCTTGAAAACCACAAGACATGAACAAATATTTCACACACGTTTTGATTGAAAAAAATATGTAAATGTGCCATTTATTAACATTAAATGAGACTGCCAAAAATTAAAAGGGGTTAAAAACAGATATTGATAATGATATTTGTCCAAAGGTATTTGTTTGTTTGCTAATGATATTTATTTGTCAGAGAGAGAGAGAGGGAGAGAGGTGGAAAGAGAGACAGAGAAATAAAGAAAGCAAAAGGAAGGATGGAAGGAGGAAGGAAAACCATGCCTCCCCTTCGCTTCCCCAGCTGTCTTGCCAGGAGCTGTACAATATGTGCGAAAGAGCTGCATGTGGCTCCCGAGCCACAGTTTGGCCACCTGTGGACTATGCGTAAAGATGTCAGCCTCCAGGTGGGACCTGGGGATTCCCCATAATTCCAGCTCATCTCCAGACTACAGAGATCAGTTCCCCTGGAGACAATGGGTACTTTGGAGGGTAGACTCTATGGCATTGTGCCCCATTGAGGTTCCCTTCCTCCCCAGGCTCCATCCCCAAATCTCCAGGCGTTTACCAATCTGGA